GCTCACATGTGCCTGTGACGCTTCTGCGCCTCCTGCTGCCCCTGCTACCAGTTTGCCCAATCTGGGGCGAACCGGTAGCAACCCACCACTGATACAATGCCAACATTTGCTCCCGTTTCCACGGAGAAGGTAAATTATCTATTCAAACTAGAGGAGCCAGGTCAACTGGAAAGAATTGCATTTTCAGCTAGTAATTTATCATCTTCTTCCAAGCCCTGATCTAGATTGCAGGCATCCCTATCTCAAGACATGTTCCATTAAGTGCAGTAAAGACTGAGCCACAAAATTTTGTCTGCACTGATTCCAAGGTGTCCTTCTTCACATAAATTCCTACTTGTACTCTGTAAAAGAATGTCCTCAAAAAGTTTTAAATGCTGTAGGGTTTAGATGAAATTCAGCACTGGTATATATTAGATTTCATTTAGTTCATATGAAATGTTATGCCCCTTATTACTATAAAATAAAAAAGGTCTGAACATACCAAACTTTACAGTAAACTCATGTCTGATATTTGTTAAACTTCATGTCAATCAATTTTGGACAATGATTTTGATTTGCCTTTGTAGCTAGAGTTTTGCATTATTGATCTTGGACAATATTTTCCTTGTCATTTCCAAGGTTCAACATTCCTTGCTTGTTTCCCACTTATAACCCCTTTATGCTGAGCAAACTTAGTTTCAGTTTGTGAGGAATGATCTTTATATTCACCTCTGTCCTCTTTCATCTAAATCATAATATTCAGGACTAAAAGCAGTATGCGTTTTGTTGGGGGCCATGGTTGCCCTTGTTCCTTTGGACTCTTCCAATCAGTTGTGAATCCAAGAGAAAGGAGGGTTCATTCAGACTTTGTGTCTGCCTTTCTGCTTCATATAAGAATACGTATTAAAAGTCCTGGCAGATAATTCTCTAGTCTAGGCCATGCTTGATTACACCCACTGAAGGTTGGCAATAGAATGAAAGGCCATTAACCTTATCTAGCAAAGTTGCTCCTATATTGTACTTCAGAGATAATGTATGCTTTGCCCCATGCATGACATTTATTTATTTATTTATTTATTTATTTATTTATTTATTTATTTATTACATGTATTTATATGCCGCCATTCTCCCAAAGGACTCAGGGCGGCGAACACAAGTTAAGAAACAAGTACAATAAAATCATAATTAATCCAAATAATTAATTAGTAGTAAATAATAAAGCCCGGAATCAGTCTCAGCCTATTTGTTTGAAAAGCCAAGTCTTCAAGTCCCGACGGAAGGAACGGAGATCAGGAGCCGTCCGGAGCTCAGTAGGTAATTCATTCCAGAGGGTGGGAGCACCCACAAAGAATGCCCTACCCCTGGGCACAGCAAGGCGACATTGGCTCGCCGTCGGAACCCTGAGGAGAGCGGCCCTATGTGAGCGAACAGGACGGTGAGAGGCAGGCAGGAGAAGGTCATGCAAATATCCCGGACCTAAGTCATGAAGGGCCTTATAGGTGAGGACTAGCACCTTGAAGCGGACCCGGAGATGCACTGGTAACCAGTGCAGCTCACGCAGGAGGGGTGTTGTATGGGAGTAATGAGGGGCTCCCATAACATACCACATAGATGTGTAGATCAAGGCCAACTATAATCAAAGATCTAGGTGCAGTTCCACGTTTGTACCTGTTATTTTGATTTTTTTGACCACAACCCATTCCTGGGAATGTGCCTAATGCAAATCTTTCAACTTTTAAAAATATTATATTATACTAAGACTTTTTTGTTTAGTCAGGCATTGTAATTGTCTGTTTAAACTTAACTCTTTTATCTTAATTATGACATGTTTCCATTATGTTATGTAAATGTTTTAATATGCATAATAATATAAGATGGTTTTAAAATGTTTAAATATAATCAATAAATCTTTTGTGTTCTATTTAATTTTAGGTATTTTCTGTAATAAGTATTTTTGTGCATGTACTCTTCATCACATCTTTTATCAGATAGTAAACAGAAGAATAAAACCAGATATCCATAGACACACAGATACATATATGAACAAAGAAAAGACATAAAAGGAAAAATACATTTCTTAGCAACATTAATAGTTGCCAGAAAAGTACACACCACAAAGAGTAAAGATTTGGGAATTTTGTTTTGCCTCTGGCTCTGTTTTGATGTATGCCAGTTATATGCTGGTTTCTTGTGTGTTTTTAGTTCAATGCTGGATTTTTCATCAGATTTTATGGTCCTATTTCATAATGTTCATGTATTAAGTTTCTATTTAAACATTGCCTCCAGCAATTAAGATAAGATTCTATTTTTTTTTAAAAAAAAACATGCTATGAAAGAATTGTTCAGTAATTGAAAGTAGTGTTTTTCTTTTTCTTCTCATTTCTTTTCTTTTTTGTTAATAAACACAGTAGAGTCATAAACTGAAAAAAATATATCATGGACTACAATAGAAAATGTAAATGTTTTCCATAAAAATGAATGAAATGTAGATTCCATTTGAAAATACCATACCTAATATTTCAGGAATTATTATACCCAAACACTTTTTCTACATAAGACCATTTTAAATATCAGTATCATCTGAACTTGGCAATAATTACCTCTGAAGGCATTCTAGGAAAGTTTCAGAAGATGATTTCAGAAGCCACGTCCCAATTCCAGAAAATGCATATTTTAGAATGATTGCAATAAATTAATGAGAATATTAAGAATATTTGCTCAAGAATCACCAAGCTAAACATGTTTGATTCCTTCATAATTGAAATGATGGGGAAAAATATTACAGGGACATTAAGCTTTTGTCATAACAAAAGGAATAGGTAAACATTTATTTGTGTTCATGCAAAACAGAGGTTGCCAGAAGCAGCACAGGGATATGTAACATTGCTGGTGTCATCCATAGGTTCTCAAAAATAAAAATTAACAGTCATTTAGTAAAAGTGACTGAAATTTCAGATCATCCTATCCTATGATTTGATGTTCTAGCCTCAAACGTTAGAAGAGTTTGATTTAGAATACCAAGAGCTTGTTAGATGTTTAATAATAATTTTAAAAATAAGCGTAGATGGTACAATTTCAGGAGACTTTGGCCATTTGTTAATTTTTGTAACACCTTTGCTGTTGTGAAAAATTGGAAGTAGTACATGTTCTCTATAAAGATTGCCAACATCTGGTGCTAAATCAACATTTGGATTAACCTAGAATAGTCATTGTACGATACTTAAAAACAAAACTGCATTCAGGACTATATAATAATAGTATCACAGTGACTTATTTATCCTATAGTTTTTAATAAGTGACTCAGAATCATATACTGACAATATATTAGAATATATTCAAGAAGATTATGTTAGCAAATGTATATGTCAGGTTCATCTGTTGTTGCTTCAGAAGAATAGGTATGAATACAGGAATGATAATTTAAGCAATTTATAATTAGTGCTTACAGAATATGTTAATGATTTAAACTAATATTTAGGGCCGGGGTATCTACGAGACCGCCTTCTGCCACCAATAGCCTCCCACCGGCCAGTAGGCTCGCACAGAGAGGGCCTCCTCAGGGTGCCGTCCGCCAGACAATGTCGGCTGGCGACCCCCCAGGGGGAGAGCCTTCTCTGTGGCGGCGCCCGCCCTCTGGAACAACCTCCCCCCAGAGATACGCACAATACCAGACCTCCGGACTTTTCGTCGGGCCCTGAAAACTTATTTATTTCACCTAGCCTGGCTGGCTTGATCCCACTGTTTCGGTTAAATTGAATTGATTTTAATTGGGTTGTTTTAAATTGTGGCCAAAAATATTTAATTATTTTTTAAACTGTTTTTAAATTTTGTATGTTCTATTTTATTCTGGCTGTTCATTGCCCTGAGTCCTGCTGGAGAAGGGCGGTATACAAATTAAAACAAATAAATAAATAATATATTGAGGAAGGTAACACCCAAGGAATTTTTCTTCTTATTGCGTAATTGCTTTATTGTCAAATTACCTGCATTAGTTGATCATGCAGTTCAATAGAATACATTTGCCTTATCCTGCATTTTCTCTCCTCTCACTTATGACTGTATGACTGTAACCTTGTTGCTGGTATCCTTATGATTTATATTGACTACTTCCTAATATGATTTGATTGCTTATTTGTACCCTATGACAATCATTAAGTGTTGTACCTTATTATTCTTGACGAATGTATCTTTTCTTTTATGTACACTGAAAGCATATGCACCAAGACTTGTGCATATGTCTCCTTGTATGTCTAATGTCTAATACTTGGCCAATAAATAATTCTATTCTATTCTATTGTATTCTATTCAAGTATTAAACTGCTGAACATTTTTTTTATCTTGGATTAAAAATATCCCTTATTTCAGGATCATGCTTTACAATTGCTTTCCCATCTTTTTTAAAAAAAAACGAAAACCTGAACTTATTCTGTAATAATCTTTTTGACAGTCTATACATTGCACTATTTTGTTCTGCTCTTTGCAAGACCTTCAAAGGACAGACCAAGTATGAATATGAATATAAATGTGAATATGCCCATACATGCATGCACAGCAGTTATATTGCATCTCTGACTAAGGCCTAGTATCTTCTAACAAATTCATATAACTAAACCAGATCTGGCCTATGTAATACCGTTTGTAATGAGAAATCTAAACAGGGAATGGCAGTGAGGCATGACAGGAATGTGTTTCCATTGGAGAACTCAGTATAGAGAAAAAGTATAAGCAAGCCCATGTCCAGAAGGCCTTTTCAGCTGGCCAAGACGGAAGACTAATGTTATTGTACATTTGTTGTCACTGCGCCAGCCCTCCCTCACTGTTTTCTTTCTTTCTTTCTTTCTTTCTTTCTTTCTTTCTTTCTTTCTTTCTTTTTCTTTCTTCTTTCTTCTTTCTTTCCTTCTTTCTTTCTTTCTTTTCTTTTCTTTTCTTTCTTTTTTTATTCTTCTATCTCTCTCTCCCTCTCTCTCTCTCTCCCCCCCTCTCTTTTTCTTCACCCCCTCTTCTGCTAACTGTTTGCTCAGGTGGACAGTGACACCATTTGGAATGAGCTGCATTCGTCCGGTGCTGCACGCATGGCTGTTGGCTGTGTCATCGAATTGGCTTCCAAAGTAGTCTCAGGAGAGCTGAAGGTGAGGTCTGGGTTGCATTGTGTGTGGGAAAACCAGGGGAGAAGCTGAAAGCAATGTTGTTCTGAGATTAGGGGGAGGGAAGGGAGAAAGAAGGATGGGGGAATATAGAAGGTCACTAAAGAGAGATAATCAAAATGTTTGATAGAGGATTATTTTGTTACTTCACTAAGGACAATGGATTTCACTACATTAACTTCATCCTTATCATCACTATTATTGTTGATATTATTATTTGTTATCCAACCACATAATTGTTTACACAATCATTGTCCAAGTGAAAATGACTCAGAGGATGTACAGATCTGGCATGCAATTCCACAATTCCCTTTTGAACCTTTTTCTTTTAATTTTACAGAGTTTTTAAGTACAGCTTCAAAATGCCACCCAAAGCGAAGAAAAGTAAATAATGTCTTGTAGGCTTTGAAGAAAGAATGATATTGTTGATTATATAGTTAATGATGCGAAGTATGCCTTTGATAGAAATGGTCTCAGAGCTCAATTTCTGAGCTTCCTTTTCACATGATTTGAAAAGAATGAGGTATAAATTCTGATTTATCGCCAGTCTAAACAATTTAGAAAACCTATCTGACAGATATTAACTTATTACCTGATATTTTAAAAAATCTATTTAGAAGTTTGACTATCAAGGTATATAGACTGAATACTCAGATGTACCAAGCATTACTTGGCAACATAACAGTTTACAAACATTTAAGCCAAGGAGATTGGATTTCTCATAGTAAATATATTCAAGAAATAAGGTTTACAACCTTCTCAAGGTACATAGTTTAGCTTATCCACATGGTATAAGGAGATTTTTAAAATAGATCTGGTCCTTGTGTTCAATTTTTGGCTATAAGAAGTTGTTACAGGAGAGGTATAACTGCAACCAAAATAGCATTCTGTACTTCATGTGAAATGTCTATTAGTGCCATTACCCTATTGCAAATTTTGATGCTTCTGTGATGAACATGTCTAGATGATTTACATTTACACTGCTCTGGCTATATCACTTTCTATTGTCTCCCACTGTATACTGTGACCTCGGTACCCTTCAGATGTATGGACTTCAACTTCCAAGATTCTTAACAGTGGCTCCAGTATTGGGGAATGTTGAAATTCATACTTGTGAAAGGTACCCAAGTTTGGAAAAAGAAATCATGCTTACAATTCCAGAAGGATAGAAGAGGAAAAAATAAAATAGCAACTATAGTTGCCAACCATGACACCATTTTACAATTTAAGGTGAACATATTTAAAATTATTGTAAAATCAAATAGCACTTACTTTAAAAAATTAAATTCCTGCATGAGCTGTCTAGATGGAAATTCTGAATATATGTAAAACTAAGAGCCATGGTTGAATTGATGCAATGCTAGTCTTGAGGAAACCTTGGGCCTATTGCTGTCACAAATTTGGGCACCATCCAGCACGCCCTGAACTATATAAAATGATATAAAAACTATCTATTTGCTTAAATCTTTGTGATTTCAAAAAGACAAGCATTACTAGATTTTCCTTAACAGTGACTGTGCTGGCCTTGAGTGAATCATAATATTTTAAATTCAATGCACCATTTTTAAAAGACATAGTAATGTCATATTGTATTTTAAGAAAATAAAGTGCATAAAACAATAAAATACATCATGCTTAAAATAAATAATTTATGGAAAGCATGTAGAACTTTATTTTCAACCCATATAAATATTGTTATGCTGGCTTGGGAATTCTGGGAATTGAAATCCATACATATTAAAGTTTCCCAGTCTGAAATACATTACTCTAAGTCATATAGGAAGGAAGGATAAGGTGGCTTATAATAGTGGATGTGGTTACTTTCAGTTTAAAGGACTTGAAATGGAATATTCTTCTCTGCATCTCCTATCTAATCCAATCTTTTTTTTTTTTAATTAGATTTATATGCCGCCCTTCTCCGGAGACTCAGGGCGGCTTACAATGCGTTAAGCAATAGCCTTCATACTTTTGTATATTTTATACAAAGTCAGCTTATTGCCCCCACAAACCGGGTCCTCATTTTACCCACCTTAGAAAGGATGGAAGGCTGAGTCAGCTTTGAGCCTGGGGAGATTCGAACATGCAATAATTGCAGACAGCTGAATGTTAATAACAGGCTTTTAGTCTGTTGAACTATCCAGGCTCCTGGATAGATTCAGAATGATTTTCAAAATCATTCTTTGTTGCCCCAGCTTTTCCTCATCCTTCTCCATTTCCCAATTTTTGGTCCTATTCTGCTGTTAACCTATTGGCAATCAGATATACAAACAGAGAGAATTCCTTTATGTCATATCTTTCCCACTTTATGCTGTTCTAAAGAATAAAAATTACACTGTAAATATCAATTGTGTAGTTTCATATTTTAACCATTATGCAAACCAACTAATGATAATTTCATCTGAATATTTGCACACATATTGTACAATTGTGTTTCTGTAGCTCTTGAAGAATTGATTCCAAAGTAAGTTTCACTTCTGTTGGAAATTTGCTGTATATCAGTGATGGCTAACCTTTTTGCCATTGCGTGCCAAAAGTGGGGGGAGAGCGGGGGAGGGTCACGTGCATGTGTGCCCACCTCCATCCTGCCCCCCCACGCATGCATGCGCGATCCCCCCCCTGCACTCCTCCTGCTTTTGGCACGAGATGGCCCGGTGGGCCTGGTAGGCTCTCCACAGGCTCCAGAGGCTTTCCTGGAGCCCGGGGAGGGCAAAAACGGCCTTCTCCACCCCCCCTGGAGGCCCTCCAGAGGCCGGAAATGGACTGTTTGCCAACTTCCGGTGAGCCCAGAAGGCCCGAAAAACAGCTGGCTGGTGCGCGCATGAGTGCTGGAGCTGAGCTCGCGTGCCCACCGATATGGCTCTGCGTGCCACCTGTGGCACACATGCCATAGGTTTGCCATCATGGCCATATATACTCTGAGTTGTTGCTGTTGCCAGGTTTTCCCCAAAAGTCTGAGATGCAGATCCTTGACTCTTTTCAAAAGTTATGCCCAATATGATAGAATACACCTAAAGCAATTAGTTTCATCTCTTTTAATTTAAATTAAATGAGTAAGGAAATGAAATGAATATTCTGTTTTTGTTCTGACATTTCCCATTTCTTGGATCTACCCATTTTGTGGAATGCAACACTGGCAAGGGCACTCAGAGGCAAAATATAGCCTAAAGTGAAGGAAAAAAAGGTACTAAATTAAGAAATAAACACCTAATCTAAATAGTACCTACTTACTATTACCACAATATTTGTTTTTCAAGTTCTTCACTGGCTGCAGGAAACCATCATTTAATTGGAACCTAACAGAATGCTGAAGGCTTTAAGATAGATATGGGGAAAGATGCATATGCCTTTCTCTTCCCTTTAACCATCAAATTATGATGACATCCCTTTTTAACACTTTTTAAGGTTTATATGTCTACCAGAAGTGCTTATTTATTTAGACATTGTGCCTCCTGTGTTTTAATGGGGTAGTGCTTTTAAAAAAGTGAAATCAAATAAATGAATGAATGAAAAAGAAAATATGATATTGAAATATAAAAGGCAAAATAAAATCAATATAGCAGCATTACTTTAAAATAAAGTTAAGTAGTGCCAGGGATAAATTAATTCTATTAGTTGGCAGTAAAGACCAACTTTTTATTTAGACACTTAAAGTTTTGACTGGATCCTTATCAATTGCTTAAAAGCAGTAGAAGGAATAGACAGAAAGAAAGGCAGATAAAAAAGTTGGTAGATATAACCAACCCTGGGAATTCTATTATCAGGACACAAGAAGGATGTCCTGATAAGGCCACTTCTAAAACCTCTGAAAATCTTACCAGTCTGAATATACATGAATCAAAACTGACGTTTGGACAATCTGATCCATGCTGTTTTAAAAAAGGCCCCCCCACAAATAGTATTTAAATTTTTATCTAGAATTACCCAAGAATCACATACTTCATTTGAATAATCCTGTCAAAAATTTGGTTGAGTATTTTATATAACATGCAGAATGTGTGTTAGTTTAACTTATTTATAATGCTTAAAAGAAAGATTTCATGTTTCTATATTTTTTTAAAAAATAGATTGAAGTTGGGAAGATGAACATTGTCTGTCCTTACCTGTAACGACTACACCTTTCCTGATGTAATACAATTTGAAAGTGCAGTTAGATAACAGTTATTAGACCTATTTTATGTGCAATTGACACAGCCAGGATTTTCTGCAAGACCTTTAGTGCTTATCTTGGTAGATTTATGGTGCCTTCTTGTTGTGCTTTAGTAGTCTAGCTCTGTGTAATGAAGGTTTTAAAAACAAAGTTGTCAGTCATTCTACTTTTGTATGGATGTTTGAAGTAGCTGCAATAAGTAGTAGCATATATGGCATGAATGGGGAATTGTCTTCACCCATATTTATTTCCAATACATTGGAAGAAAATCTAAAAATGCTATGTAAAACATTGTGTAGAACTTTATTTTGTGGATGGCTGTGAAAGATTTTTTTCATTCTTTTAGGCTGCATTATAACATTAAGCTACATTGTCACTTATTCAATACTATGCATGTATCTAGGTACTTGCTATATATGTTTCATACATGAAACATAGATTTCATGTATGTTCTTCCTTCTCATCTGCTTTCTTTCTTTTTCACTTTTCTCCCTCTTTCCAAATTTGAGTAGGATCACTAGTAGCCAATTGAGACCTGAGAAACAACTTCTTTAAGGAAAAAGATGCTAATTTCTTCAAGCAATTTTTAGCAGTATCACTAAGAGAGGGAAATTTTAGTTTTTTTCCTGAAACTCGTTCTTCTCACTTTTTTGCATTCAGTGAATGAAAGGGTGAAATGTCTGTTGAAAACTTGATCATTATGAATATATTGCTTTCTAGATATCCCAACTACTAAAAATGTACAGCAAACCTGACTATCTCTATTGCAATAAATGTACAGTTGTATCTTAGTACTGAACTGTTTTGAAACTCATCAAATTTGGGACTCAATGCATTC